AATTCTCAATGTGAATTGGATTTTCTTCATCTAATAATATAATTACATAGCGTGATAATAGTTCTATTAATTTATACATTAACCAGAAAGTTTCATTTGTAGAGATTATATTAAGACAGTGGTTCATTGCAATAATTATATTGTGATTATTTTTGGATAATATGCTTTTTCCGAAAAATTTTAATTTATTTATGAAATCAGTAATGTCACTAATTAAATTCTCATTAATATTTATATTATAAGATAAATTAAAATTTTTGAATTGTTTTCTCCTAAGTGATTTAAGATCTTCAATGATATCATTTGATAAATAAAATAATTTTAGTCCATATGAAGTTAAAGAATCTTGAGCATATTTTGGTTCACGTTTAGGAGGGTTGGATCTAAAATAATATGAACGTTTTTTGAGTCGACTATAATCTTTATTTAATTTAATTAAATTGTTAGCTACTGAAATATTTTCAGATGAAATATTCATTAAATTCTCTTTATTGAATTCTTTTAATTCGTTTTGTAAATACATGAACTGCTCTGTAGGTTCAATTTGGCATGCCTCATGCTCATAAATTAGAGTGTTTTCGTCGAAAATACTGGTCATAATTAATGCTTTTGATTAACTAATGATTAAAAAACATTTAGAGATTGTTTAAAAAGGAAATTTAAATAAATACTAGAGGTGAACTTTAAAAGATTAGCGTTGAACTTTAAAGTTGAAATTATGAGATATGAGGTAATAAAAAATAAATGATATTTAAAACAATAATTATAATAATCTAAAAATAGAACATATTCTATAAATAAAATCTCAAATAAATGTTATATAAAACAACTTAATAAAATTTACTTTTAATGCTTAATATGATGATATCACACTATCGTCAAATTGTACCATAAAAAAATTATTATAAAAAGAAAAAATTAAAATTAATTTCTAATTTAAGAAAATTGAAAAAATTAAAATAAAATAAAAAAATAAAAAAAAAAATAAGAAATAATAGATATATCCATAATTGGATTTTCTTCATATTGAGAAGTGATTGTTTCAGTTTCTTCAATATGGTCTATTTCTACAATAGAGTTCACTTCTAACATATGAGAATTAGAAGGTTCATCTTCTAATGTGTTGCCAGTGTTTCCTGTGTAGAACATTAAGTCTTTCATGTTTTTAATAATGATTGTTCGTAGTATTTTGGGGAAGTTGATTTGTAATTTTAGTGTTTTTAATCTTCTTACTGATTCTTTATGTATCAACCCATTGATTGTTAATATTACAGGTATTATTTCTACTTAAGTTAATTCTCTACTTTGTCTTAACTTCTCTTGTAATTCTTTATATTTATTTATTTGTAAATATAATTTAATTCTATATTTCTATCTTGACATATATCAACATCAATAATATATCCTTTTTTTCATTGATGATTTGATAATATATATCTTGTCTTCTAGCATTAAACGAATGGTCACTAACTAATAAATCTTTATTGTAAGTTATAACAATTTCATTATTATTAATACATTTGTGATATGCATTAAAATCTATTTCATCAATTTCATTAAAATGGGTAATTAATATATGTTTATTTATTTGTTTACATACATAATCATGTTTTGATATTTGATTCTTCTTCATTACAGGACATCCTAACAAAATGTGGCTAATAGATGCAATTGTGATAGGACAATGTTTACAATATTTTAAAACATCACAATTGAGTATTTTAGATTTAATATTTCCTGTCATAATTACTCCTTCTTGCATCTTTACTACTTAGAGGAATTCATTTTCTTTTTATATTTAATGACCTCCATGTGGTTACTGATAATTTCATAATATTAAATATACAATTTACATTTCTTATATATTCACTTCATTTCTT